CCGGGCTGGGGATTCGAACCCGCCACCTTAGGTGTACGTGGCTGGCGCCTTAGCCGGTTGAGCTATAGGCGCCGAGCTTAAAGATACTATCTTTAACATACTCTTATTTGAAACAGTTGCAAAGAAAAAAATACAGTCTTATTTAAAGGATTTTGGTGAAATTCACCTAAAAATTAGTAAATACGAACTTTTTTTCTTTTTGGGAGGATTCTCACTGTTGCTCAGGCTAGTCTCCAACTCTTCAGCTCCAGAGATCCTCCTACCTTGGCCTCTTGGAGTGCTAGGATTACAGGCCTGAGCCACCACACTTGGCCTAAATACGAATTTTTAAATTATGCTAAGATTTGTGCCTGGCTATCTTCCACATTTGAACACTAGTGCCCCTTCAGGTTACAGGGGAATTTAAAAAGGTAATCATTTTATAGAACTTAATGTAGCAAAACCTTTATCCAAAATGGGAACTCATGCTTCAACTTTGTGTTCTTTTGTTGTTTTTTTTAAACTACTCCTTTAGACCCCTCAAGGAAAGAGAGGCCAACCTGACATCCTGAGAACTCTCCACATTATGAAAGTCACATGAGTAAGGCCAAGTGTAACCATGCAGAGCTGGGAGAGTCAAACTTGGTGGTTTTGAACAATACGTCTGCATATCTTATTTTTCTATAGTTACCAGAGAATTTTAGGTTTTATTATTTATTTGGAGAGAACTTTATTCTGTGATAGAATGCAGTGGCATCATCATAGCTCACTGCAACTTCAAGGTCCTGGCCTTAAGCTATCTGGGACTACTAGCACAAGCCATGGTGCCTGGGCTAACATTTTTTTTGAGACAGACTCGCTTGAGCCCAGGAGTTGGAGGTTACTGTGAGCTGTGATGCCATAGCACTCTATCTAGGGCGACAGCTTGAGGCTCTGTCTCCAAAAAAAATAAATTAATTAATTAAAAATGCTCATGTTACTGGCTTGGGTCCCAAAGGAGCTTTATATTTATCTGATATTTGCCAGATGCCTACCAAGTGTTGGGGGCATTGTATTACTTTACAGAAAAACAGCACATAGCATGTTCTCTGTACTCCAGATTATTATTTTTTTGGAGACAGAGTCTCATTTTTTTTTTTTTTTTTTTTTTT